ACCCACTGGTGCTCAGGGCTTACTCCTGGCTCTGACTTCAGAGATCACTTCTAGAGGTACTGGAGGGACCACAGGTGGTGCTAGGGGTTGAACCCCTGCCCACTGCATGCTAGGCTAGCACCCACCTCCCTGCACTATGGTTCCAGCCTCCTCCCTTTCATCTCTTAACCCTTTGGTGTCTAGCAAATCGGCTGGGCTTAAGCCTTGGTTTTGAAGGTCTCTAAGTCTGCACGGCTGTGAGGGGACAAATGTCAAAGATGGCCCGGGGGACAGTGCAGGATACCTCAGACAGCAGGAAATGGGAGTGTGAGGTGAGGACAGGCTGCATTTTCACTGGACTTCACGGAACTCTGCAAGTAAGTCTGGCTCTCCCCAATACTATTACCAAGAGAGGAGTAAACACCCCCTCTGAGCGTTCACCCCGGAACCCCTAGGGTACAGACCTGCAGATGAGTTCGCCTGACCTGCACAGGCCACAGTCGCAAGCCAGCTGCCCTCAGCTGCCCATGCCAATGTACCCTAAAGCCTCCTTGGATTAAACTTTCAACTCAGACTTCAAATCCCTCCCCTAGGGAAAGGTCTCCGCAATGTGAGGTCATGACAATTGACAAAACCCCACAGGAGCTGAGGTTACAAATATCAAAGTGGAAGTGACCATCAATAAATAGCTGTCCAGTCAGGGATGATGTCAAGCCCCATGTGGTCTCCTGAGCACTGCCCATGGGGGCCGGGGCTAAGCATTCTTCCGAACCTCTGGGTGTGGCTCCCAAAACCAAGAAAGGCTAGCTGGCTTAGAAGGGATGCATATATATGCAGTATATATATATATACATATATATATAGCACAGCGGGTAGGGCGTTCGCCTTACAAGCGGCCAACATGGCCGACCCGAGTTCGATTCCTCCACCCCTCTCGGAGAGCCCAGCAAGCTACCGAGAGTATTCGATATGCCAGACACAGTAACAACAAAGTCTCCAATGGAGACGTTACTGGGCCCGCTCGAGCAAATCGATGATCAACGGGAGGGCCTTTACTTTTACTTACTTTTATATTTGCTTGAGCGGGCCCAGTATATATAGTGAAGGGCTGGAATGATGGCACAGCGATAGGGCATTTGCCTTGTGCGCAGCCAGCCTGGCTGATCAGGGTTTGATTATTCCGCCCCTCTCGGAGAGCCCAGAAAGCCCCCAAGAATATCTCGCCCACACGGCAAAGCCTGGCAAGCTACCTGTGACGTACTCGATAGGCCAAACACAGTAACAAGTCTCACAATGTTACTGGGCTCGCTCAAGCAAGTCGATGAACAACAGGAGGACAGTGACAGTGATTATTAGTGAAACACCATGAGGTACAGTTGTAGACTTACACATTTTCGTACTTGTGTTTCAGTTATATAATGATCGAGTACCCATCCCTCCACCAGTGCCCATTCTCCACCACCAATGATCCCAGTAGCCCTCCCACCCCAGTCCTCCCACCCCACCCTGCCTCTGTGGCAGGGCATTTCCTTTTGCTCTGTCTTTAGGGTGTTGTGGTTTGCAGTAGAGATATTGAGTGGCCATCATTTTTGGTCTATAGTCTACTTTCAGCATGCATCTCACATCCCAAGAGAATCCTCCAAACATCCTTTACTTGGTGTTCCCTCCTCTATCTGAGCTGCCTTTTCCCCTAGCAAGTGCTGCCGGCTTACAAGCTGTGGAGCAGACCTCCTGGTACTTATATCAACTATTCTTGGGTATTCGTCTCCCATTCCGTTACTTTATAAAAAAATATATATGTAGATATACATACATATATGTATATATATATACATTTGCCTTTTGGGTTATACCCAGAGATGCTCTTGGGTTACTCCTGGTGCTGCATTCAGGAATTACTCCTGGCGGTGCTTGGGAGACCCTATGGGATGCCAGGAATTGAACTCGAGTCAGCTGCGTGCAAGGAAAATGCCCGAACCACTGTACTATCGCTCCGGGCCCAACACCAGAACTATTGCAGGTGAAAAATCACGCATGGCCGTTACGCATTCAGAACAAGTCCCAAAACGGGAGGCAGCTTTTTATGCAGGAAGAACCACAGCAGGCACTGAAAGTGTAGTGGTGTTCTGATTAACACACAGAGCTAATGCAGAAGAGTGAAGAGCACTTAGAAAGTGATGCTCCCTGGTATCCATGAAGACCATAAAACAGGAAAGGGAAGTTCTGAGATGCAGTGCTACAATTAGGGGATCTTATTTACCTGAAACTTGAGTTGCCTAAGGAGAAATAAGAGAGCGAGGCAGATGCAATGTCTGTCAATACACACTGGAGCTGGAGGTAAGTAGCAGCTCAATGGCAGAGCAAATGCTTTGCATGTACAAGGCCCTGGCATCCCTCAAAATGTATACATACACATACAAAAACATATACACACATACATGCATATACACACGTTTTAGTATATGTGTACGTATAATGGTTGAGAGTTTTCCAATCTGGTGACAGACACCCATCTCTAGCTAGAGAGAAACCAATGAAGCTCAGATGAACGCATTTTACAACTCTATAATAACTCATATTCAAGTGAAGGTCTTGAACATGAGTTATTATAGATCACCAAATCCATGTATAGATCTAACGAGCGGAAGCCATCTCTGAGATTCTTCTTTCATCAGTTAGTCTGATGGTTTCTTTCATCAGTTAGTCTGAGAATTTTGCTCTTAAGTACTGAACTGTATCGTTAACCCGAGTATCTCCAAACATGTTCCAGTGGGCTACTTTAGCAATCATACAACCACACCTTATCGCACAATATATTTCAGCTTCTCACAATGATAGAAAGTGTCAAAGTTCAGAAACTGCCGGAAAGCGTAGCTAAATACTGGGGAAGAATTAGGAATCTCAGAAGAATATCTATGGACATCATCCTGCTAACTTAAATCTTCAGTGACTTCTCAAAACCAAGAGCAAAAGGCTCCAGTGTCTCGGCAAAATTCAAGACAATTATCAGAACTTAAACTAGTTCTCTAGTCTTATCTCCTGGCTTCTACCCATGGCACTTGAAAGAATCCACCTGTCTACGTGCGACACCTCTGCACTCCTCAGTCTTTCCCAAAGAAGTATCTATTTATTCATCTTAGAATATTCTGCTGGAAGATAAGTGCCAACAGTATATGTATTCCTTGACTTTCAAGTCCTTGAAGGACTTCTGTTTCTGCTGCTGGCTGTCTCTTCTGTTCCTACAAAGGCACCTGGCAATAGCAGTTACTCAACAGTCTATCATGTTCTTTGCTGAACTAACTGAGCATGTAAGTACAAAAGCCCTGTGCAACACCCCTCTCCCCTTCTCTCAGGGGCAGGGACCCACACTCAGGGGTGCTCGCGGGTCACTATAAACTAATGCCTTGAAGGTTACTCTTAAGCGTTGTTTGGGGGACCAGGCGTGCCAGGGATTGTACCCAGGCCCGCATGCAAAGCATGTGCTCCAGCTCTTCAGTCCCCTGTGAGATCACTGTTAACTCAGCTCACACCCAAACTACCTCATCGTTCTTCACCTGCTTAAGGGTCTGTGCTTGACGTGTATGTTTTCATAAATGTCTTTCATGAGACACTGTAGCACTGTCCCGTTGTTCATCAATTTGCTCGAATGGGCACCAGTAACGCCTCCATTGGGAGACTTGTTGTTACTGTTTTTGGCATATCAAATACACCATGGGGTGCTTGCCAGGCTCTGCCATGCAGGCGGGATACTCTTGGTAGCTTGCTGGGCTATCCGAGAGGAATGGAGAAATCGAACCCAGGTCGGCCGCGTGCAAGGCAAACGCCCTATCAGCTGTGCTGGGCTGGGCTTTCATGAGACACAGATGGAAAAGGGACCCTCTTCCTAATCCTCAGCTGCGTCGCTGTGCGGAGACAGGGGGTGGGTCGTCCTTGATTGTTTACAGACTAGATAAACTGGCAACCCGCAGCTTGAACACAATTTTTTGGCTCCCTCTCCACATCACCCAGGAAGTATTCCAGAAAAAGCAACAAAGCTAAGAAATGCCAAGAGTCAGAAAATGAATCCCAATTGATGAATGGTGAGTTTGCATTTTATCTAGACTTCATTCAAAAAATGAAAAAAAAAATTTTAGACCTGTCACAGATGGTATAGAGCTCAACTTTATTTATTTATTTATTTTTGCTTTTTGGGTCACACCCGGCGATGCCCAGGGGTTACTCCTGGCTCTGCACTCAGGAGTTACTCCTGGCGGTGCTCAGGGGACCATATGGGATCCTGGGAATCGAACCCTGGTCGGCCGTGTGCAAGGCAAATGCCCTACCCACTGTCCTATCTTTCCAGCCCTAGAGCTCGACTTTAAGGAGTACGTTGCAATGAGAGGCAGAAGAGACTTTGAAAAAAACAGACTTTCCTCCTTCTTTTAAAGATATGGCCAAATAATTACTCTGCTAACTGAATTTCACTGGGTTTTTCCTAAACCTTGCAAACTAAGAATTGTGATCTAAGTTGCACGATGAGATGAGAAATGACATCATCATTAGAAATTTATTCTGAGCCAGTGGAAATTAATGAGCAGGCCTCTTATCAACCACCAGAGCTAAAGATTTGCTCAGCGCTCAGCAAAATCAAATCCAGTTTCCAATTATAATGACACCATTGAAAACATATGAGGATTCCATCAGAAATATTTCCCAAGCTGTATGTTTCCTCTGTGGAGATTTTCCTCCGGTGGCATTCGCGTTCGAAATGCAAAACTGCTAAATTGAATTTTCAGTCAATGTAATTAAAAGCTACAAGATTTTTGTGTTTTTAATTTGGGGCCCCATAAAATGAAAACTCCGAGGGCGTCTCTGCGACAGTTTTCCTGCTCAGTGAGCCGGAGCAGGGGACTTAAAGGGGCCTTAAGCCAACAGGTGAACCAAGGGGTCCCGCCTCACACAGCTGTGCTGAGGTACCCAAGCCCAGAGGAATGCTAAAGACAGATGCAGGAAGCGGATATCTGAACTCAATTCTCACTTACTGGCTGGAGCAGGTAGATGAGAGATTCCTCTTGGATCATTATGATTGGCAAAGGGGTGATGGTGGTCGCTTGGAACAGGGTGTTCACAGAGGCCATGATCTGGTCAAAACGTCCAGCCAGTCCACCCAGGGTCACAATCACATCGACCTGAGCAAGAAAAGAAAACTAGGAGTCACATGCTTCCAGAATGATGCGTTGATTTAGGAGCAGAAAGCTCTGGAGCCCAGCGGGTGACACTCCACTGTGTTTGACACACTGCAAAGACACGCTCAACACGGCCGCAAATCTGAGGGGGGAATTCACTTGAGACCTCAACGTCACGTGAGCCTTGGACAGTGCAGGCAGGCTGCAAGACGAAGCGTTTTGAGGGCAGATATCCACTCTCTTTTCCACTTGGAAACTGAGTCCATACTCCCCTTAAAATTCTGCATCCGTGTCCTTTCTCCTTGGAAGTCTTCCCTGAGATGGTAAATGGTGTTGTTCTATCACCCATACATGGGCGCATCCTTCCTGATCGGCAGTATCCCTCTGACTGTTTTTGGCGGGGGGGCGGTCACCTCACTGTGATTCGAAAACACGGAGGATGTGCTATCTTTCAATGGAACCAGTCAGGTTCCTTAAATTTACTTCTTCTATACCATTTCTATTTTCACTTAAAAGATTGAACAGAGGATTGTATAGAGAGGAAGGTGCTTGCTTACATGTGATCAAGTCAGGTTTGTTCCCTGACATACATACGGTCCCCCGAGCCTGGCCAGGAGTCATCCGTGAGGACAGTCAGGGGTAAGCCCTAAACATGACCAGTTGTGGCCCCCAGACCAAAAATAAATTAAAATTAAAATTTAAAAAAAAGAAAAACTCTAGCATTTACATCCAGGAGTTTAGTTTATAGTTTGCTGCAGGTTGACTTTAGGTTGACCTTGCGACCACTCACTACTTTCGGACTAGCTGGAGTGATAGCACAGCGGTAGGGCGTTCGCCTTACAAGCGGCCAACATGGCCGACCCGAGTTCGATTCCTCCGCCCCTCTCGGAGAGCCCGGCAAGCTACCGAGAGTATTCGATATGCCAGACACAGTAACAACAAAGTCTCCAATGGAGACGTTACTGGGCCCGCTCGAGCAAATCGACGATCAACGGGAGGGCCTTTACCTTACCTTTACCTAGCATTTAAAAAACTGAAAAATAAAATTCTAAGAAAACATCTACAGCAGAAACCCATTTTATTGACCATACGGTGAGCAGGTAGGGTATCTGCCTTGCACAGGGCTGACCTGGGTTTGATTCCTCCACCCCTCTCAGAGAGCCTGGCAAGCTACCTAGAGTATCGTGCCGGCATGGAAAAGCCTGGCAAACTACCTGTGATGTATTCTATATGCCAAAAACAGTAACAACAAGTCTCACAATTTGTTGTGAGACGTTCCTGGTGACCGCTCGAGCAAATCGATGAACATTGGGAGGACAGTAACAGTGACAGTGACAGTGACCTCGGATAGAGCGACAGAACAATGGGTAGGGTGTTTGCCTTGCAAATGGCCGACCTGGGTTCGATTCCTCCATCCCTCTCGGGGAGCCCAGCAAGCTACCAAGAGTATCCCACCTGCACGGCAGAGCCTGGCAAGCTCCCCGTGGCATATTCAATATGCCCAAAACAGTAACAACAAGACTCAGAATGGAGACATTACTGGTGCCTGCTCGAGCAATTCAATGAACAATGGGAGGCCAGTGCTACAGTGCTACTGTGACGGAAAAGGTCTGGTTGCCCTGCTACTAAACCATGCCAGTGGAGGAAGAGGACACAAGGAAAGGAAGTTTCACAGGCCATAGGGCAATGCACACCTGCTGGAACCAGCTCATCTTTGGAAGAGTCGTGGATAAAGGACACGAACAGGGAATCTAGCTTCAGAAAAGGCTGGCCCAAGCTGGTGGGCACTGGGGATGGATAAATCCCCTGGAAACTGGTGTTCCAAGGCACACTCCAATGTATTTGGAAGAAAGATACTGGATTCAGAGCTTGGTCGATGCGCTCTGGGCCTTGCACAGGCTTTAGGGGAAAGGATGAGATATGGGGAACATTCTCTATGATGTCAGCAGCTCAAACCCAGAGGAGCTGGCTAATTTTAATTTTGAAATCAGCTTTTAATTTGATTGGATTCGTTCCAATTCTACTAGAAATAAGGTAGAAAGAGCTGAAAATGGCATTTAGATTTTCAGTTTTGAAAGCATACGTTTTTTTAAAAAAAAGCTTTGTTAAGTCTAGATCTTGAAGAGATTTGCTTCTAGAACGGCTAGACTGCAGCCAAGTATACTGACAGCGCTGGTTTAGAAACCAGGGGACAGTGGCCTCTAACTCTCCATTAGGCCAGAAACTAGGTTTCACCAGCACACTTTTATAATCTTGGTACTCCACAGCCTAAGAAAGAAGTAGATTAACTGCAATGCTGTATTGATACATGAATCAGAGTAAATATATGAAAGAACCAGTAAATTTTGGAACAACTTTCTTATTCTGGAACATATCAGAGAATAGGAGAATGGTGATATTTAACTTAGGATGAGTACCTGAAGTGTAGTATTCTTTTTTTTGGGTCACACCTGGCGATATTCAGGGGTTACTCCTGGCTTTGCACTCAGGAATGACTCCTGGCGGTGCTCGGGGGACCATATGGGATGCTGGGAATCGAACCCGGGTCAGCCGAATGCAAGGCAAATGCCCTGCCCACTGTGCTATTGCTCCAGCCCCCAAGAGTAGTATTCTTGGCAGGCAAGCCCCACACCTACAGAATTTAATCCTATTTTTGAGGCTTTTTTTTTTCAGCTTGTGGCCAGAGCAATAGCATAGCGGGTAGGGCATTTACCTTGCACACGGCTGACCTGAGTTCGATTCCTCCGCCTCTCTTGGAGAACCCGGCAAGCTAACGAGAGTATTTTGCCTGCACAATAAAGCCTGACAAGCTACCCTTGACATATTCAATATTCAAAAAACCGTAACAACAAGTCTCACAATGGAGATGTTACTGGTGTCCACACAAGCAAATGATGAACAACGGGAGGACAGTGCTATGGTGGCCTATGATGACCATGTACCAAATAAGCCAAGGAATGGGATGAAGATGAAAACATCCCTGGAAAGGGGTGGTGTAAGGGCTCAGATTTCACAGGTGATACAGCTCAGGAACTCAACTTCAGGGATGGACTTTGAGACTCAACTCCAATGACAAGGGAATCAAACGCAAGAATGGAAAAAAAAATGGGATTGGACGAAATTTAAAAGACTTTTCATAGAAAACAAACAAATAAAACGGTGCTTCCATAAAAGGCAATCAAGCTATTGGGGTAGGGCATTAGCACATCATAAATCTTGACAAGATCCAAAATACATAAAGTGGGTACATAACAACAATAGAAATTAAGCAATCCAAAGAATGCGTGGGCAAAAAAAGACATTTCTCTGAAGATGTGAAGAGGGTCACAGACACATTTTTTAAAAACTGCTCAACATCACTCATCACTGGTTATTAGGAACGTGCAAATCAAAACAAAAATGAATTGTCACCTTATATCAGTGAGGATGAACTATATCAAGAAGATCTGAAAAACAGCTGGTGAGGATAAAAAGAAAAAGATTTTGTGCACTGTGAGTGGGAATGTAAACTGGCATAGTTAGAAAACAAAGATAAAGAGAACACACTCTTACACAGACACACTCACAAGACCACACAGTCTCCAAAACCCCATCCAGAGTGAGCACAGTGCCAGGATAATCTCTGAGCACTGTCAGGTGTGGCTCAAGAAACAAAAAAAATAATAAGAGCAATCAACAGTAAAGACAGCAGCCTAATTCCAACATCCAGGCCTGAGAGACAATACAGGGGGAAGGGCACTTGCCTTGCACCAGATAACGCAGGTTCGATCCCCCTATTCCCTAGGAGCCCTGAACCCTGGCAGAGGTGATCCCTGAGTACAAAGTTAGGAGTAAGCATTGAGCGTAGCCAATGAATAAATAAATAAATAAATAAAATGAAATGTAACTCCAACATCCATTCTAGAGAAAGCAGGGGTGGAAAATAAAACAAAATGGCGCTAGTTATGCTGCAGAGAACTGCCATCCGCAGGGAGAAGTGAGATTTCTGTTCCCTTCAGATGTGAAGAGGCTGCCAATGAGGAGATCTGAGCAAGGATGGACCCCAACCTCAGAGCATGATGCAAGGGAGCGCCCGCTTAGGAGGCTGGTAGCCTACTTATTCTGTTATCTGCTCTCCATTCTTATAAAAGTGGAAGCCCATTTCTGAAGATAATGAATGTGTTTCTTTTGCTGGTTATGGGTTAGGAATTATAATCCTTAAGAGTATTGCTGGGGCCAGAGAGATAGCAGGTGAGGGAACCTGCCTTGTACAGGGCCAACTCAGATTTGATCCCTGGCACCCAATATGGTTCCCTGAGCTATCAGGGGTGCCCCCTTGCAAACAAAGCGATTACAACAACAACAAACTTGTATTACAAACTCACTGGCCTGGTAGCTTAACTATTTTGAATAATCTACCTGTACACACAAGGAGTCAGCACATAGCTATTTAGTCTATGAAATATAAGACATGCATCCCTAACTAATTTTATATATCTTATTCCCTCAGATTCGGGTACTTTTCAGGAATTTTCTTTTGTAGATGAGGGGAAGTAGGTTGGAATAAGGGATGTCTCTGGCTTGTCATATACGGACATGTCTAGCAAAAAAGAACCCCAAAAACCTGCACCCTAAAACACTGGAGGTATGGCTATGGTATGAGGAATAACTTTAATGATGTGGTCATGTGTTCATATTCCAGTCCCATGACTTCCTTGTGTCGCAAACAGTTTGGAGAAGGACTGTATTCACTCTTAGTTTTCAAGGTTCATTGTATTTTGAACAGTGAGACTGTCTGGTTTCCACTGGAAGAGGTTAAATAACTGTGTCTGTTGTTTAGAAAAGAAACAAAAAGCAAGGCTTTACATTATTTGCTTTAATGGAATCATGCCAGGACTGGTTGAGGGATATAAAGCAACAAAAGGTGAAGCAATTTCATTTTTCTATTACGGCAGCAAAAACCTTTGCAGTAAACAAATGACATGTTTTTCTCCATTTGTCCTCAAAAAGACTTAAGACAGAGA